CATTTCTGGATGCAATTAATATTTTTGAGATGGTAGAATAAGGGAGATTATGTTCCTTCTGTAGATGGGTCATATCAAGACCATCAGAAGCTGTAATGGAACACAAACTAGGAGTCATTTGAAATCTGTTCTCTCTGCTTGAACTAGGACTGAAACCTATACTAAGTCTCCTTATTCTCAGGTCTTCAAACTGATTGACACCATCTAGCAGCTCCAGTGCAGACATTGTAACTCAGCTTTCATGCCAAGTGAATCAACTTATTCTAATCAATATCTCCCTCCCTTGATTACAGACAGAGAGATGATAGAGGCATGCATTGATTAATAACGGGTACACATCTGAATAAGTCTCTAGTGGGAAATTTCATCACGTAAACATCAAAGTATGTATGTATCCAAACCAAAATAAGAATAGACATCACTGTATGATATAGGACTCTCACTGTATATGCAGTCTGCCAATGAGTGAAATGTCATTATATGACATATGATTACATGTACATACATACACATTCACACATCACATACACAGTTGGTTCTGTTTTGTCAGAGAGCCCTAGCCCTTAAGTCAGTCCTCCTGAGAGCCTGGGTCATTCTTGATCTTGTCACAGTCTAACCAAAGTGAACTTCTCACCTCTCTGATGCAGTGACTCTGAACCTTACAGAGCTGGCCAGAGAGAAAGGTGAATAAGACTCATTGGCAAGACTGTAAATATGTGCCCACACATTTCCCATCAGAACAGAAACTTCCTGAACCTTACTGGTGCATCCAAACCATAAGCTTGTGGGTTGGCTGAAATACAGCCAGGATATATGTGCCTCTGGAATATCTAGTGAATCAATGGTCTCCATAAAATAAAGCTCAAAAACTAAGCCACATACTAAGGTGACTATACTTGCTAAGGAATAGACTCTTCCTTTATTTCCTTTTGGTGACCTCGGGGACAAATCTGGAACTGATTCCTGGGGTTTATCAATTCTAAACTACCTGATTTCTCCTTTTTACTGCATAGTGTCTGCCACCATAAAGTGATGCTAGTGACAGTATCATGTGTATGTAGGGCATTAGGAGAGTAAAAATAATATAGACACAATATGAAGTTCAAGGCTTTAAAAGTAGATAGAATTCAGTATATTTGAGCAATTATTTAAAGGTCTTTATAGTTCCAGCTCCTTAACCAGATTATTTTTATATACAAACTTACACAAACACAAAGCAGTGCACAACTAGAATCCAAACTAAAGATACTAAAATGATTCACTTTAGTTGGGCTTGGCTATGATAGAATATCATGATCAAGCCAACGAATAAAGGGGAGCATTTATTTGATTTACATTGTCAGAGAGAAAGTCCATCATGTCGGAAAGATATGGCAACAAGAAGTAGGCATGGCAGCTAGAGCTGTAAGCTGAGAGATCACATCTTAAACCATGAGCATGAAACAGAGATGGCAAATCAGAAGTAACTGAGGCTATGAACTCCCAAAGCCTGCCCCCAGTGACATACTTCCTCCAGCATACCTGCATCTCCTACAACTTTTCCAAACAGTGCCACTAACTGGGGACCAAGTTTTCAACTATCTCATAGAGGACATATCCTCATTTAAGCCACCACACTAACACTACATATTTTCACCATTCTCACAGCTGACTTCCTAACAAAGATACTGCAGATTACATGCCATGTTACAGGGTATATTCTCGTGTGTGTGTGTGTGTGTGTGTGTGTGTGTGTGTGTGTGTCTGTGTGTGTAAAATGAAAAACTGGCAGTTTTCTTCCATTAAGAATAATAACTCAATTCATAAATATGGAATGTAAAGGTCCAACATGAAACTCTACAGGTAGAACAGGAAGTTAAAACTACATAGAATAACAACAAAAACACCCCCCCCCAAAAAAAATCAATAGTCTTAAAGTGTGGCCCACTTATTGAGGGCTGAGGTGATGGCAGACAGGCTAAACAAGTCCATTGTCTTGGTCTTTCCACAAGACATTAAAAAAGACTCTCCCTGAAATCTGAGAGGCCAGTGAAAGGAGATCAGAGAGTAGGGAGTAAACAGGATGTCCCAAGCCAGGAGATAAGTCACAGGCACCAGAACATCTGCTGGCTCTGATTAATGGACATCAAGTGTGAAAATGGGAAAAAATGCTTAGCTTGCCTTGCAAACAGCCACGGAGCTATAGGACCCCTGGGTACCAACTTGGGCCTCTTTCAGAAAGGTATTGGATGCTGCATGGTTAGTATGGATTTATAAATACCAGCATATCTTAACAGTAGGGGAAATGCATTGAAGCATAAATGGAATAGATTAAGGATAAACAACCATGAAGGGAAAAAAACAAAAAGCCAAAAATGTATGTCTACAGTAATTACCAAAGCAAAAGAATTCATCACTCCTAAAAAGGTAAGTTAAAATATCAATAAATTCCAAACTACTTAGGTCAACTCAGAGGTAACATATCTAAATGAGGACTAGGTTTTAGAAGGTAATGGGTTTGGGGGCCCCTAGGTTCAAATCTTTGAGAGTGATTTGTATAGGGATAAGTAATTATTCATAAGTATTTCTTCTCATCTCTAGTCTAGGCCCTCTTTGCAAACCCTATGTTCCAGTATCAACCCTTTGCTCTGCTAAACCCTACTATCTTCAGTTTTGGTCTTGGACTTTTGGTCCCACACATAATAAAAGGCTCCTATAATAACTGCTATGCTTCTGCCTGTGACACATCTACACAATTAGAATCTTGTTTATCTTACTCCTTTGAGCAGAAGCAGAGTATAATATATTATGCAGAACTAGGAAACAGACATAACCTGCCCAGGGCAAAGGAGGAGATGAGTTCACATCTCCCTTCGGCTTCCACTAAATGCTCCCAAAGGATAAAGTGCTGCCAAAACCTCCATCCCGGTGGAAGTACTGAGGAGTTCTCTACCATAGGATGTGGAGATATTGGGGAAGGAAGTGATTTCTGTAAACAAGAATCCATTTACATATTACCTTCTCCACTACACTAATTCCATACAAAAACATGCAAATGCTTTGCAACAATATAGAAAACACACCAAGAAGTGGATAACAGTATGATTTTCACCAGGTCCTAAAATGGTTCTAGGACTGAGTGATAAGCATACACAGAAGACAATGTAGAATGGCAAAAGCATCAAATAAGACTGTCCCTACTCTAAAATTTAAAATTTAGAAAAGGACATCATGTTATTTGTAGGCCATACCCTTGGCAAAGTCTAACGCAAAGACCACTGCCATGTCAAAAGGTCATATCCAGAAAGTTGCCTTCAAACATGGAGAGCTGGCCCTGTACAGAAGTAATGCAGTCATGTAACCCTGGGAGGCAAATGTGTTTCCACTTATACCAGGGCCCGGTCCCAGCCTTTCCCACAGGCTCTTCCTAAATAGGAACTTGGCAATGGGATTAGTGGAGCTGGAAGGAACGTCCTTGGCTTTAGAGGTGAGGCCCGTCAGGGTCCTGAGGAAAGTCAGGCAGAAGTTCTCCATGCTGGTAATAACACTGTAGAATCAGTGTCATATCCATTTTATTAATTTTCTTGACAGGCAGATCTAGTTACCATGCAGGCACCACAAAATCAAAACATACGCATGTCAAGTGGCCCCATCTGTGGTGGGGCTCTGCCAAGGCCCATGTCACATCAACACAAGGAAGGCAGAATCCAGTCTCTCTGACCATGTGCTGGGTCCTTTGAGCAAACCTCTGCTGGAAGAAAACCACCAGGGCTCCACTGAAACAGCCAGGGCGGTTCTCCTGGTGACAGTTCGTTATCCTAGGTCTGACCTCCTTAGGATTGAATAGACAAGTCCTGGGAGACACATGGTTACATCTGGCTTTGTTGCCCCATCTCTAAACACAGCCACACAGACCTCCCTGTGATTCCCATTTTGCCTGCATTCAGTTTCATCTACACAGGACAAAAGGAGCCTGGATTAAAGAAGACATCTAGAGGCACGCAGTGACTTGATTTGTAACTGGGTTTGAACTTGAAATTCTGTTGAGCTGAGATCTATGGGCACAGAGTAAGCATGAGAGAACATAGTTTAAATCAAGTTGTCATTCACTATGAGCACTGCTACAATGATGACAAGTAGGGTCCAACAGGAGTTATTCTCTAAATCATACTATGAGAACTACAACTGGGTAAACAATGCCAATGGCATTGGTACAAAGGTAAAGACCTGACAGACACATTCCAGCTCTAAGTAACACAATTCATGCATGTGCTGTGCCACTTTGACTGCCTAAACCCACACTCCAGAAACTTGCTTAGTCAGGCACCTAGATGCAGAGGCACTCAAGGCCTAGAGAACAGAATGGATTCATTCTCTCCCCCACTAGTTGGTCCAGCAGCCATCTGGAGACTGGGAGTGGCTGCCCAGTGAGCTCTGACAGGGAGATGAACACATCCAGACTGCACGTCTCTTGGGGTAAAGACTCAGTTCATCTTTTCTTTCTCCATTCAAATAGCCATGGCATGTCAGCTTTACTGGCCTCCTTGATTGTGCAGAAGTAAATAAATGAATTATGTTGTTGGGGTTTGGGCTTCAGCACAAACACATGGTCTGCATTTATCCACACAGTGAGAGGTCCACCAGCCACTTGATATAAAAGAGGAAAATGATAATTCTTTTCTTTAGGCACTCTGGTGCCATATGGAATGTATATAAATCATATTTTTGTTTTAACAGCGGAGGCTTTGTTGATAGATAAACATGTGGTTTATCTAAAAAAAAAAGAGAGAGAGAGAGGATTGTGCTTTGAACAATCATTTAATGGCCACGGATGTGCCAAATAAAAATAAAAACATAATTTTGAAAGGAGCTGGCCTCTTTCCCAAATCTGTAACAAGGAATTTCTTCTCAACCAGAGAAGTTAAAGCCCATCGATCTGTTTTGAGTTTAAGCTGTGCTCTACTCAACCCCACGACAAATGGAATCCTAGGCTAATGTGCTCTAATAAGACAAGACATTACCTTTATGAATGACCTCATAGAGAAGAGATTGGCAAGCATTGTGGAGAGGCCTTGAGCCAGACAGCTCTGGGCTATGAAACCCAACTTGAGCTCTGCAAGGCATATTGCGTCATCACCCTCTTTCCAGTTCCAGCTGGGGATGTTGAGCAGATGGGCCTGTGGGAATAACAAGAGGTATGAGACCCTGTTCTGCTCCATGTCTGAGTGTCTGAAATCTCTTCTGGGAACTGCTGAATTGTCCAAGGACACTGGGTCATCCAAACTCATCGTTTCTTTCTTCTGCCTGAGTCTAAGGACCATTGCTAGGTTCTATATTTCTGGTTCAGTAGACTTTGGCCTCTTGGCAACATTGCTTCTATACTCACCAGGCCCACATCAAATTTGCTGTTTAGCCAGATTTGACCCAGAGGGGAATTTTCTCTTGTGAGATACACCAGCCCCCAGCATTAAGAAGTCAAGTTAGCTTGTTTTTAAAGTGGCTCTCAAATATCAGATTGCCAGATTCCTCTGTGTCTGTACACTTTTGTATTTTTCCCTGCCTTCTCAATAATCTAGATTAGTGATGCCCCAAACTTGAGTGGGTACCTGCATACCCTGCAATGTGTACAAAACCTACAGCTTGTTGGCCCCCACCATGCTAAGTTTCTAACTGAATAGAACTGGGGTGGAGCTGGAGAACTTGTAAATCTACATGTGGGAGGAAGTGCTGCTTCTCTGGGGGCCACTGTGCAACCCAGACACAGACATCCCACAATCTCTCTCAGATGGACTGTCTTATGGCAGGTCTGAGCCCAACTCACAGACCCAGAGACATGCTAACTCAATTATTTGCCAGTGGCAAGCAGCAGAGAGTTGTACATGGCAGAGTGAATGAAAAAGTTGGAATTCAGGAAGTTCTCTAGTGTTTGGGGATTTACAGATAACAACAATAACAAAAGAAGAACAGTCTCCAGAGGAAAGGAAAAAAGATTCTTTATTCTGTAAGAATAGGCTGAATTCATTCCACAGGATTTGATCCAGTTTTAACAGTCAAACTTGAAGAGAGAAGTGATCAATTGAATAACGGCCGTAGGACAATGAGGAGGACAAGAGGAGATGAGTGCTCTGGAAAGGAACTCTTGAGAAACAGTAAAAAGATCCCGAAATGCTCAAGAAACAGAGGTACATCCTTGGGGACATAGGATGGTCATGACATCTGGATGTCTAAGGCCCTGCTATGTCATGATTAGCTTCACCATACTCAGTTCTTGCAGCCAGAATTATGTCTGTCCTGATATATCTCAAAGGAAAGTAAAGGGTTTTGGCTTGTCTGACAAGGGAACTTTCTAAGGATGAAATTTGTCTAAGAAATAGAGAAGACTACCTTAAAAAAAAAAAAGGTACAAGGTCTTCATGCCTAAGAGTTTGCATTTTTCCAAGATGCTACAGTAAATCATGCTTTGTAGAGGAAATTGACCCAGAGTCCTTCTAAGTCCCTTCTAAGTACAGGCCAAGATTCTATAGCTCTGAAATTATTTTTCCCCATGTACCAGTAAACTGGAGCAGCAAAAGAGGCTTCCCCTCACTTTTGGAACAACAGAGGCCAGTTGCAATAGAAGGATGGATTATTTCATTGTAGAAACAAAGAGCAGAGCCCAGGCCTCTTTGCTCTGCTTGGAGAAACCTCACTCTTGTGAAATGCCTGCTTGCAAAATCCACCTCTGTGACAGTCTCCAATCCTGAGCCAGCAGTGGTTACTGCTGGAAGAAGGACTGCTCCCTAACCCAAGTAAGACAGGCCTGTGTGTGGGCCAAAGAGGAGTGTGATTTGTGTGGTGCTGAGTACCAGAGGGTCTTCTGCACATCACACACAGAATGCCAACAGATAGCCCCACCCTCACTCTCATTTCTTTCTCCATTCTTCCCTGGCTTAAGAAGTCAGCTTTTTCATTTTACTTCCCTGGCATGGTATAAAAGACCTTCATCCATGTGGAGAAAGACTTTTATGAGAAGAATGATCGATTATATCCAAGTAATGAACTTGTGTGTGACAAGAGATTTGGGTGGTCTGGTCCCTACAGAGACACCACATAGTCTCCATGCCATCTTCAAAGAAACAATGAAAACCTTGAAGAAAGTCTGTCCTATCTCCAGGCCATCCAAAACATGTAGTTCTGACATATAAGCCTTGGGTCCCTTGGGTCCCTTGGGTCTCATGTAGAAAGTCATATTTATTTTAAGCTCCCTATTTCTCCTCTCATTGCCACTGCATTTTCTCCAGTCATGAAGTGGCAGGAAGCAGGGCTGAAGTGCCAGTGGCCAAGAGGGAAGACTGTGTGCATGAAGAAGCCAAGAGAGGATAATTTTTGTTTTTGGAAACTTCATCCTCTTTCATTTGAGGGAAATTGGGTCTGGTTAAAAAAAAAAAAAAGCCAGCATTTCTACCCAGGAATCAGGAGGCAAATTCTTTGGTAAAGAAAACAAGTAGGTCCAACATTAACCACACCCTCCCTCCATTTATGCTACCGGATTGTCCCTCATTTCATGGAGAAGAACTATAAAAATGTGCTGCCTCAGGAAGGCAGGAAAAATGAATTCTGGTCATGCTTCTTTCTCTTACTATATATTCAGCCTTGAAGAAATAGTGTAAAAAATGACAAAGTCTAATGATGGAACAACAATAGTATTCTGTAGTCTGCATCTTCTGTCAACGTCCATTAAAGGACCATATACTTACATCTTCATCCCCAGGGTGATACTCTCTTAGGAGGAATTAGAGTCTTTGGGAGGTAAAGTTTAATAAAACTCTTTGGGTCAATGAGAGCATTGCCTTGTGAGAGGCTAGCAGGGCACCAATCAGCCCTATCGATTTGGTTTGATGGAGAGGATCAATCCAGTGCTTTTTTATATTTTTGGTTGTGAGCCTAGCCTTTAATGGCTGAGCCATCTCTCTAGCCCAATCCAGTGCTTTCTATCAGTCTCTTCCAGAATTGTGTGTTGCCTCATCACAAGCATAACTAAACAAAGCCAACTCATCAAGGCCCACAGTCTCCAAAAGTTTTATGTCATGCAATTTTTAGAATGACAGAAATCTGCCTGTGATGATTTGTGCTGTTAACTTGACAGACTCTAGAATCATCTAGGAGCCAAGCCTCTGGGGATGCCTGTGAAGTATTATCTTCATTCTGTTAATTGAGGTCAGAACACCCACCCACTGTAGGTGATACCATTTCCTGGCTGGAATCCTGGACTGTATAAGTGGATAACGGGATCTGATCTATATGACATGATCAGCTACTTCACACTCCTGCTACTTTGACCTCCCCTTTATGATAGACAGAGCCTTGAGCTGTGAGCTGAAACAAAACCCTTCTTCATTTAGTGACTTTTGTCAGAGTATTTCATCACAGATATAGGGAAGTTACAAAGGAACTGTTCAACATGGCTATGTCTGAAATGCCATCAAGGATGCTCAAAGAACTAGTATCTGTACTGGGGCTTAGTTTTGAAATCAGAGACAAGAGCCTCTTTGATTAGAGTGCTTTGGGGAAAATAAGAAATGCATTACCAGGTGAGTTATTAGGATTAACACCTTTTCCAGCATCATATCATCATCCTGTGTTTGAAGAACTTTAAACCATGTACTGCTTCCCTCTGCACTCAGAGAAAGCCTGGTTTTGAAATTTCTCTCTGTGAAACTTAACCACTGTAAGGAGATCCATTTTGGAGAATACTATCCTTCCCCCAGGAACCAAAGTTTAGTTCTGTAGGCTACTGTCCCAGTCAAATAGAGTGGGCCGTTGGCTATACTGCCCTAGTTTTCTAGCTGCGAGTGTCTGTGATTTGTGCTTACCAGCATTGATTGGCCTAGAATAGAGCTTTGACTCCTGCTAGTCTGAAGTTACACTGGGATGCTAAAATGCACAGATGGCCCAATGAGGACTAAATGAGATAATGGATGTCAAAGCTCTTTTAAAACCATAAAACAGGACACAAATGTCTGCAATTATTATGATGACAAACTCAAGGCCAGCAGTTTCCCTTCATCCCTCTAGGCTCTAGAATATCACCCTCGTTACATCACAGGAGTTTGACATTTTTTTATTTCAAGCCTTGTGTCTTAACTGTTGGAGCAGTTATACCCTCCAGAATATGCTCCTGGTGGCATAGTTTTCACACACACACACACACACACACACACCAGGTCTTTCCTAAGTGCATGTGTAAGTGGGTGGCAATCTATGTGCTTCTTGGATGGGTAGAGAAAAGGCCACATGAAGAAGAATATGTTGAAAGAGAAGGAGAGTGTGTGAGAAAGGTGGGTGGGAGGCTCTTAGGCAAATTCAAAGTAATGAAGCAGGGGGAAGAGCTGTCTATTCAAAATCTACTAAGAATGATCTAAAAAAAAATAGAGGCGAGAGGACATCTCCCTTTAAAAGGGAGATGGAATGAGAGGAGACTTCCCTTTGTCAAAATTACTCTATCCCTGAGTCCTTACTAATATAATAGTGTTCTGAAAGTGATCTTGCCTGACCCAGAAACCCAAGTAGAGTGAGGTGGTTCTAAACAAGATGTGTTTTAAGCAAATACTCCTGAGTCCATTGATGTCTGCATCACAGTGTCTAAATGGTTGTATTGGAGATTCTGTCCAAAATATTTGTGTGGCTGTAGTCATATGAATACCAACCAGGTACCATCTGGCTCTGAGGCTAGTCATGTTGCTTCAAGTTTGACAAGAACTACACAGCTGAAACGCTCCTTAATTTCTTGAAGATGCTACATCAGCACCCGTTGGAAAGAGAAGAAAAGGAACTGACATCTCTTTCTAAACATACAACATTAATTTTCCTATTCAGTCTAAATTCAGCCAAAAATCTAAACAATCGCTTAAAGCACTCCCACACTAAATGAGATTTCAAGTCACAAATGAAAGAAGGAGTGTTCCTTGCAGCAGGAGCTGTCACCAGTCACAGCCTCAATAAAACCCACCTCCACCTACAGAGGCTGCAGTCAAGAACTTCTCCAGGTTGATGCCTGTGAGTTACTGAGAGTCCCCTTATCCTATCCTTGAGTTTTCAGGGACAAACAGGAGATTCACCTTCAGTGCCCACCACAAAACCCACTGGCTGGAGAGTAACAGAATTTCCGATAGAGCCACCTGCCGAGGGCTGGGCAATGGTTGACACTGGGCAGCAGTTCCAAGCAGTGGGCCAGTTGCTGACAGCAGGACCCACTCAGCAATGGCCTCTGATGGGCCTCTACATAGCAAAATGGACCAGCACTTGCCAGCAATTAAGAAATAATGGAACGGTGCTGGTGGCATTTGGCAGAGTGGGGTTTTCTCTGGGTTACCTGATGGCTTGTTTTGCAGAGAATATGGCCTATAAGATGGGGCATGCTGTCACACATAAACCTGCAGGGAGTTATTTCTGTTCAGTTAGGACACCTGGCCCCAGGTACTGAGCAACCTCCAGTTTCTAAGCTCCATTAAGAAGATAACTGGTACCATACCAAGTAGAACAAGGTGCCACTTTCCCTCCTCCAAAGCTGTCTAGAGAGCTCAACCACAAGCCAAGTGAAGGGGTGCTGTCTTCGAATAAAAGACCTTCACCTCTGATTCTGTGAGAGGAAATCACAGGACAGTAATACTGATTCTCATATTCATGTTCTTTCTGACCAGCTCCCACTGTAAGCTTTAACACTGAGAACATTTGTTACGTATAATCTTTGGATAAACTGCTACTTCCCCAAATGTAACTAGAAAGATTCCCATTCTGAATTTGAGGATGATGTCTGGTCTGTTTTCTCTACCCAACTTGTATTATGTTCCTTCACGTGTACCTAGTCATACATAGAGAAGTCCTTTGATTATCTGGTACAGTCCCTATACCTTCCTTGATTGGTCTCTAAGGACACAAAATCAGATTTTATCTTGACAGTTATCTTACCCCCTGAGAGGCAGGAAGAGTGTTAATTATAGAGTAGGTATTCAATAGCTATTGACTGAATGACTGCAGGACATAGAAATGCAAGCTGTTGGAATTTTGGTCTGGACAGTATCTAAGAACATATCAATATTTCTGAATCACAGGGTTCAATGACTTCTTCCTGAATGAATGAATTAGCACAAGAAGGCAACAAAAGAACTTCCTCCCAATGACCCACCAAAAAAAAAAAAAAAAAAAAAAAAAGGCAAAAAAGCTGACTTCCCCTGAAGAACTATCCTAGGGAGATTATTTTAACTATGGCTTTTCTTTGCCAGGCCTCTGGGCACGTGTATGTGTGTGTTTATGTGAATGTTTATGTGAGGCTGTGTGGGGAGGGAGAAGGTATCAAGACCCACTCTGAGGATGCCTTCAGGCCTGGAAGAGTCTCAGCACCTACCTTGTTGTGATACTGCAGCATCTGAGTGATGATCCTGATCTTCGGGTGGTAGTTCTTTATGGAGATCACTCTGAAAGAGAGAAAACCAGAACTGCAGCAGGCTCTCTGTAACCTGGTGTGATGGAGGAATCATTTGACTAGGTGACCACATTTAAGGGAGCAACAAGAGCCACACAGTGGGGTTTGGGTACTAGCCCAGGGAGAAATGAGTTCTCCTCACTGTACCCATACAAAAGAAATTGCAAGGCAGTCACTGCCATATATTCTAGGGATTTCAAATACCAGAGATAGGCAGAAGTAGTCATGGACCCTGTAACCACACCACATGATGCTGGAGGCAGATGATCAGGACTCTAAAGTTAGACTTGACTAGAGAGCAAGTTCAAAGCTAGCCTGGGCTACATGAGACTTTGCCTTAAAAATAAACACATAAACACAAGGGACTCTTGAGTTGCCTGAGATATGGAGTAGGACCGTGAATGGACTTGAGATGGGTGCCTTTGATGCTTATAGACAGGTAATGCAAACCTAGACCTAAAGCCTCTGGGAGTCTACAGTCTCCCAGTACCCAGCTTCCAGTTAACAACTCAAGACAATGTTGACTCCTCAAGCAGGACACCTGACCAATGGCTCTGATGATCACAAACCCTTTGGACATTCTTATAATGTAACTTTTTAAGCAGATCTCTAAGCGTACAATCAAGGATTCTGCCTTCCACAGCACAATGATGACTGGACCTCTGGTTCAAGTTAAACATTAGCACCCTACAGAGATGGTGATCTGGTGGGAAATCCCCTCTTGATGCCTTCGGCCCTTTCCTGAGCCTGGATGACCCCACCAGCCAACCTTCCCGGCATCCCTTCGCCTGGCAATTACACTACTGCAGGGAAGATTTAAGGAGCCCATGAATGGAAACACCTGGTTTCCAGCACAGCTATTGTGCTAATGAACTGGGTGACCCTCCGGAAATCCCTGGGCTCTCTGTTTCTGTCTTCTCATCTGCACATTGGGGAGCAACGGTACCTGCATTGTTTACTTCACAGGCTTGGTATGAGAAGCAAATGCAAGGCCAGATGTTAAAATGCTTTGAAATCATTAAAAGCCCTCTCTTCACGTAAGTTATGGTTTTTGTCATTACCAACCCTGTCAGAGGTGACATTGTACATTTCCTTCTGTGACAAGGAAGGCTGAAGAATGGAATTCCAGAGAAAGGCCCACCTCCTAAGCCTCATCAGGAACACAAGCACAATTATCTAAACCGCCCCCACAAACTTCCCACTGAGTTCAGCTCTTCGCCTTGCCATCTTTTCTGCAAAATGGGAGGGGGGAAAAAGGCAACCAGACAGCAGCCTCAACTGAGGAAACCACAGCCAGTAAAGTCAGGAGACAGTCCCTGAGAAAGCCTCTCCCTGCACACATCCACCCTGTGCTGTGCACTGGAAGGACTTCCTCTCTCATTTTTGAGAGAGTGTCATGTTGGCCTCGGCTTATAACTCAAGGCTTTTGAGCCTGTCAGCCGAGCAGTCCACAGCACCAGGCAGCTTTCTGCATTAGCTCATTTCAAATGCCTCTTTGACATTTTAATTTCAAAAGCAGCAGATTGGTCTCATTAAGCTAAGGAGGAATATACAAATAAAAGAGAAGCTGAGCCCACGTTTAACCCTGAGCTTCCCACTCCGTTTTGGGTCTTCCTCCTGATTCTCCTTACTGGATGGCTTAGTTATTCTCCTGACCAAGTAAGTTCAGCACCTTAACATCCCACCATTCCCCCTGGTACCTATGTGTGCTCACATCACTCCTTCATGCTTAGGGTTTGAATAAAATGTTCCAATTATGAGCAATGCCAGTTTCAAAGTTACCCATTCACTTCTATTTCTCATCATACAGAAGAAATAAAGTATATATGCCAGGAACTTCACTGTGAGGTCAAGACCATGACCTTCATCTTCTTGGTTTGTTAGCAATACAGAAAAAGATGGAGCCTTGTCCCTTGAAGGACTACATTTTTATCACTTCGAATAACAGGGGGAAAAGATGTGTCAGACAGTAGAAATGCTACTTAATCCATTTGGAAAATGGAAAAGGGAGGCATTCTAAACTGAAGTGGATTTATGTGATAGCTTTCTAATGAGGACCAGTAAGGAGATGCACTCCTATGTGAAGTCCCCATGCAAACCAAGCCATTATTCACAGATTTCCTTAAAACATGGAACCAAACCTACTGCAGAAGTAACATGAATGGAAAGAGAGGAGATGATGGCAGATGGCTCCTTCCAGACTTAAAACTCTAATGGGGAGACTTGAGCAGCCTAAATGTACCAGAGGAATTCCTCTGCCTCATTGATGGGACAGTGCATGTAACTGGTGAACACTCATCAAAGCTAAGAGGAAGTACTCAGGAGCATTGTAAAGACCTAAGGGGAAATTCCTAACTCTCATTTTGAGGCAAATCCATGGGTCCCAGAGTAGCAAACTGAAAGTAGTATTTGGATCATGCCTGGTCCAAAGGATTATAGCTGCTCACTATTAAGAGAGAGAGTTGTTGGGAATTTAGTGGAAGTGAAGTATTTCCCTTGGTCCATGCTCTCTCCAGGAGATTCTCTTTATTATCTTCACCTACTTCAAATGACTATTCTGTAATTTACACCACAGAAAAGACAAATTCTAAAAGGATTTTAGCTAATGAGAGAAAAACGTTTGGATTTCTTGTGTGTGTGTGTCATTTTATAGATAAAGGATATGATGACAAATCTGTGGGAAGAATAATAGCTAAAGAAAACTTTTTTCTGAAATAAGAGTAACTTAAGACATTGGAGTTGAGGTTAAAATTAAGCTCCAAGAGGCCCAGCCCATGTGCAGAAAAGGTACAAACTAGCGATAGTCTAGGTTGTTTTCTCCCTGGACAGTGATCTACTAAAAGAAAGAAGGAGGAAGAAAAGGAGGATAAGGACAAGGAGGATGAGGACAAGGAGGAGGAGGAAGGAAAAGAGGAGGAGGAGGAGACTTCAATCCAAATAGGATTAAGAAATAATCTATATAATTCAGCATCTCAGTGATTCATGCTATTAAAACCACTGAATGATACTCATCTGGGGAACCTGAGACAAGCTAACTGACCAATAGCTTTCAGGGCAATAATGATCGACCTGATGAAGCACATGGGGGAAGCACTAACAGGGGTTTTTCAGCTATTAGCATTGTGGGTCAGACAGTCTTCTAGATAGGGACTCTGCCATGCATTATGGGAAGGTTGGCAGCATCCGTAGCCTCTATTCACAGAGTTCCAGCAATACCCTCTGCTAGCTATGTCAAGTGCAAAGATCTCCACCTGATGTAAAACACCTGCCGGAGGTAAGACTATTCCAAGAAAAGACGTCTTACATTTAATTCCTTTCAGGTAACATAGTTTGTTATTTTTTAAAAAAAACTATTAAAAAAATAATGTTTTATGGGTATGTATCTGTATGTGTGGAAGTAAATCCATATGGAGGCAGAAGTCGGCACTGTGTTGTTCCTTACTGTGGAGCCCCATGGCTTTCTGGGCTAGATCTCTCAGTGACCTGGAACTCACCGAATTAGGCTAGGTAAGTTGGCCACTGAGGCCCACATATCTACTTGTCATTGCTTCTTCAGACTCAAGGGTGCCATCATGTTTCATCTTTAAAAAAAAATGTTTCTGGGGTTCAAACTCAACCCCCTACACTTATACAGCAAGCACTTTACCAACTGACCTGTCTTCCCAGCCCAGCAAGCATACCATTTTAACTCAGACCTGCAGCTCTCTTTCTTTTTCTAGTTCTTTCTCCAGGAATCTGAAACCCAAGAGCAACTATCAGCATCAGACATGGCATTTGTTAGGTCTGAACTTCCTGTTGGTGGTACCCTGTATGTCAACACTCTCTTTACCTCCACCGGCTCTGCACAGGAGCCATTATTGGATGGTTCATGAATGAAAGATGGTCCACAGAGACAGTCCTCTGTAGACCCAAAGAAATGTTGCCTGTAGGCTATTGGGAGATCAGTCCAAGACCTTCCCCAGGACCGGATCCCCTGAGTTACCTCATGATGTTGGAGGCATCTTCTGCATCCGGGTCAGCGCAGTACTTATTGGCAAGGATCAGGCATGCATCTGCTGACTCTATCTGAGAGACCAAAAGGGAAAAAAAATCATAACAAACACAAACATATAAATAGCTACACTCAACTGCAGTCTCTCTCTGTTACCAGCATTTTAGAAAACCTGGTATTTTGCAAGGAAAGGAAAAAATACTTTAAAAAATTATAGTTTTGTCAAAAGTGTAGGTTGTAGGTCAGGTTCTTATTAAAGGATAAACATTCCATCTTGAACCTGAGTAATTATGTTCTTCATTTGGCCTAGCTACTTACAGACATGTTTGCCAAATTTCTTCAAATTTACTTAATTAGGCCATTCAATCTTATCCCTACTTTCTCTCTCAACTGTCTTATGCCTTCATCTTCATTTTCCAGCCAGGAAGTGGAGGTTGGTGGGTTAAACCCCTTCCCTGAAGTAGGCATGTGTACGAAATAGTTGCACATCCAGCAACACAGACTGAATCATCAAGAGGCTGAATTATCAGTGATTAGGGACATTTGTGGCTCTTGTACAGGATATAAGTTCAGTTCCCAGCACCTGTATGGCAGCTCACACACTATAATTCCAGTTCCAGGACACTGGACTCCCTCTTCTGACCCGTTGGCTTCAGGCAACAGGCAGTACACATGCACACGTGCAGGCAAAGCACTCACACACATAAAATTAAAATAAGTAAGTCTTTTTTATAAAAAAAAAAATACCTTATGTACATTTTCATTCCATGTGTCCCAGTGAGAAATCAGAGCCTTCAATAGAAAAACAGCTCGATGCTGTTTTCTGTTCATTGCTACTCAGGTGTTCAAAAGGGAAATGATTTACATAAATGAAATGATAAGTTACAGATGGATCCAAAAGGCAACCTACTGACTTATCGTAATGTGAGCCAAAAGGGGGTTTGTTCTGTAGACAGACCATGAGTTTGATGTGCTAATAATTGCTTGCATTTAAATTAGGCCTGTGAACAAAAGCCGTTTTCTCTGTACTTATGACTTGGGTCATGTCTGGATAATATTAAGATGAACTAGCCTTCATAAGCATGAGAATTCTCATGCTAACCCGGGTCTGCACTTTCTTCGGCTTATAATGTTATATTTCCTAGGTTGTCCCAGCATTTGTTCGGCGGGCTCTTGTTCCCTCAGTGGTGTGTCATAAGTTGTCTCTTGATTTCTTTGATAATGTAAAGACTTTTACACAAGGTCTTTCAAATTTTCTAAGTTTGCTGCTATAGCAATTACAGAACTCGTTGGTGACCACGGTCAGCATGTAGATTTCCTTGGGTTTACGTAATATTAATGAACTGCCAGTGTTGAACACACTTAGGACAACTGCATTAGATGGAAAAAGTAGCAGATGTCAGTTCGCTGTGTCCCTTTCTTTCCTACAGCCTTGCAGGTACTTTAAGAGAATGCCTGCTTGGAGGGGTCCAGGAAAACAAGATGAGCTTATCACCAATTGATGTGCAGTCTGATTTTGGAAAAGCGATGCTCAACTGTTTTACAGCTTTCTGTAGTTTTCGTTGAGATATAATAATAGATTTGGGGTCACACTGAGTTCAAGTGGGTGAAAGTCAGTCATTTATCACGTCCTATTGTGCACATCTTTTTAATCCATCTCAACTTTAAATTTTTCTACATATATTTATTATTAGAGAAAGTGGAGAATTATAATCACCCACTCTTATAGAGTTGGAGTTGTTTTGTAGTTTTCATTCCAATAGTATGCTTTATGAAATTGGGTGTACCAGAGTTTGGTGCATATATGTTTACTATTATAATAGTTTCTTTGTTAATTTCTCCCTTGATTAGCATAAAATGTCCTTCTTTGCCTCTCCTGATTGATTTTAGCTTGAAGTCTATTTTGGGGGTATTAGGATATTGGCATCTGCTTGCTTCCTGCTCTCATTGGCTTAGGATGGCTTTTCTATTCTTTCACCTTAAAGTGGTGATCGTCTTGGAAAGTTAGATGAGATTTGTGCAGACAACAGAAAGATGGTTTGTTTCTTAAGTTAGTCACCTAAAGTGTGTCCTTCAACTGTAGAATTGAGGGCATTCTTACTTCAAGTTATTATTGAAAAGTGTGTGTTTTTGCTGTTGTTTTGTTATTCATTTTGCTGTTTGTGTTCTTAGTCCTATTTTGTGTTCAGTAACTATAGCTTTGTTGTTTTTCTACACTTTCTTGGAAATGCTTATTCTTCTCTCATTTATGTGTATGTGTTTGTGCATGGTGTGTGTGTGTTTATAACTCTGTGTATATATGTGTCTGTATGTGTGTATATGTGTGTCTATGCCTCTGTGTATATGTCTCCCCACCTCTGTGTGTGTGTGTGAGTGTGAGTGTGTGTGTGTGTGTGTGTGTGTGTGTGTGTACATTAAAGCAAGAAGTTTGTAGGAGTTGGTTTTCTCCTCCTACCAAGTAGATCCCGTAGATCTACCTCAGGCTACTAGGCTTTGCAGCAAGTGCCTTTACCCACTGAACTACTGGGATGATAAGGCCCTAACTGAATATTTAAGTCTTACTTTGGGAGTGGCTGATTCGGAAGAAAATAGAAGAGTTAAGTTCTATGTTAAGACTAACCTGAGTGTGGGATAGTTATAGATGATCTGTGTGAGCCCCCAGCAGAGCAACACCCTGGGACTAATGAACCTGTGTACTAGAGTTAATGACATCTAAGTTATCTCATTAATGGTTAGGAGATGGTGCCAAGCCTGCCTACCTGGGGACCACGGCCCCACCCCTGAAGAAGTGAAAACACTTGTTTCTCCTTACCTTGACTCTGGCAAGATCATGTGGATTGAGGACAGAGCCCTGATAAAACTCCACCTGAGTGAAATGCCGTTTGAACAGAGCCTCAAGCTCAAGGTTAGGGGAGATGCTGCAGAGACAGAAGAGAGACAGCTGTTAAAGTAACAGAGTGGGAATCCCAGACTCCAGGGCTTTAGTTTCCACATAAAGATGTAAACAAAGGCCCTGACCTTCAGGGCTTCCTTCCCTGCCATAAATGAAAGACTCATTTAAGAGAACTGAAGCACTCACTCTACTGAAAACCAAACCCAGAGGTCTCTGGTCTTAAAAAGATTAGGGCCTATGTGGTAAACTGTCTTCTTCTTTGTTACCACTGGGAAATCTAGATCTGTATCATCAGTGTTGATTAGTCATTATATGTGACAAGTTGACCAGACCACTTTAGAAGGCCCAGATTAAGATGATTTCCAGGTATCTGTGAGGGTTCTTTGCCATGAAAATCACCTTTGAGTCAGTGAATTTGGGTAAGTAGAACTGTATCAGCCAACCAAGAAAAGTTCTAAGGAAGAAAGGGTGGAGGAAGGCCATAGCTGCTACAAGCTTCTGGCTTGTCTACCTACACTATGACATCTTATTCCTTCCGTTCTTCTCTGTGGACTAGGATTTCCCATCCCTGCCTCCTTTTGCTTCAGGACTTCAAGTTTAGATTGAGTCATAACACAAGTGGGGAAATGGCAATTTCAATTTCAATTTGGAAATGGAAAATTGTGGGACATCCCAGCCTCCAGAATAAAGCTAATGCCTTACCAAGAGTCTGCCCATGGTAAATGTATTCACATCTATCTTAAGGATCTATCCTTAAGTCAACTGTATAGCCTAATCAGGTTTTCTTTCACAACAATAGCTGACATTTAGTGAGTATTTCCTGCATACCTAACTGGGCTCTTCATACTTTACATGGACTGATTCATTTCATTCTTACTATAATAGTCTAAGGAGGTAGAATTGTCTCCTCCATTCATAGCTGTGGAAGGTGAGGCACAGAGAAGTGAAGTAACTTGCCCAGCCATTAAGACATTAACCATGTCATTAACCATAGACACAGTGCCCATTGCTTCTTTAGTTTTAATCCTGGTTAAGTCAGGATTAAAACTAAAGAAGCAATGGGCACTGTGTCTATGGTATACATGGAAATCCATCTACACAGAGCCAGATGGAGACTCAGGGACAGCAGTATCAATATGCCTAATACATTGTGTGATAGTTAATACTGTCAACTGGGTGGGGTCTAGAATCACCTTGGAGACAAACCTCTGAGCATTTATATGAAGGATTATCTAGATTGGGTTAGATGAGAGAGTGGGAAGATCCTCCATGAACATGGCAGCACCACCCTATAGGCTGGTCCCAGACTACAGACAAAAGGAGAACGCCAGCTGAGCCCCAGCATCCATCATTCTCAGCTTCCTGAACACGGATGCAGTGTGACCAGCTGCCTCACACTCTCCTCAGTGTGTTCTCTCTCTATGGATCTTCAGACTGCAAGCAGAAACAGACCTTTCTTTCTTTGAGTGATTTTGTCAGGTGGTTTGTCACAGCAGTGTGAGAAGTAACTGTGTCAGCCTGCTTCTTCTCTTGTCCTGCTTGGTCCCTCTCCTGCAGTGGTAAAGTATCCACACGATTATGTTAATTATCCTACCCAAGCTCCGAGACACAACTGACTGCATAGGTCCACATTGAGGAAGGTGTAAGGGTAGGTGACATGGATCACTAGTGAATTCCACTGTTAAATCTTTCAGAAAGAAACTCAGATATAGTTCTAGATGGCCTCATTGAAGTCTGTTTTCAACCCTGAACTAGGGTGTTGCTTCATGGTCCAAGGGTTCTAAACTGACCTCTCCATTCCTGTGGGAAAACTACCACTTACCTAAGGAGCAAGCATGGATCATGGTTTATTCAGCCCTGTCCCAATTCCCAACCACTTCCATCTCCACCACATCTACAGGCACTCAGAGAGAAGCACGAGTTTATGAGGGGTCTGGTGACAGTAGCGAGATCTCTTACTTGTGAAGAAAGACAATCTCCACGTTGACATCATCCCGGTCCTTGTGCAGAAAATCCTTCAGGAAGTTAGAAACACTCTCCAGAGTAATGTGTCCACAGACTACAATGTGCCTGTACAGGAAAAGGCAGTTAGAGCCAACCAGACCCAGCAACATGACCCCACACCCCATTCCTGATTGGCAGAGAAACTGAGGCAGCTGCAAGAGCAAATACATCTCCCCACTGAGCCCCAGGAAACCCAGTGCCCATCCCCAGAGGGTCATGAGGCAAAGTGATGTCACAAACAGTTGCTCAGAAGCTCCTAGACAGAAAAAAAAAAAGCATATGGCTGCTCACCTGATGCTGCACAAAATCCTATTAAAAGCCCAGCCACTTGGCCAAGTGGTTTTATGCATTTAACAATAAGTGACATTACGCTTGTGCTTAAATGCTACATTATCAAGTCCCTGGCAGATTCCTATCTCCCCCTTTCTGCCCACAAAGCGTCCTCCTGGGAGATTTACCGCAGCAGTCTTGGTTTATGACATACTGCTTATCAGGTAATGAGATAACAAATCTTGCTGAAACGATGGTTTTGTGTGTAAGAAAGCAGACTTTTATCAGGGTGGCTAATGTGCGGCTTGACACGTTATAGGCTCGGCTGGCCATAAGCAGTAAAAAGGAAATTTTGCATTTTTCCACTATAACTTCTCCAACAATGGGGGCATGTAACACTTTACAGTAAGTGAGCATTACTCAGGGCTAAATGAAGATGGGACGCCCATGGAATGGACAATCAAGCTGCCTGAAGGGACCCGGTCCCCAGAGGGCTGCTGCCTCAGGGTGTTGAGTCTCTCAAATGAGTCAAACTAATTCACCTGAAGACCCTTCCAATAGGCAGGAGCCAGGGAGATAATGAATATGGAAATTATGGCTTTGTTATAGAGTGGTTTGAACTCAGTTTCTAGAAATATCCCAAGAAGTGTGATCCTTTTCCAGAGCATTTAAGACCTGCAGCTTCTCCAGCATTTCCTCCTGAACCAATATGACCTTAATATCAGTGTATCCTTGGCTCATTTATATTGGCTTCATGATACTTAATCACAAGATCATGATCTAAAAATTGGCCCCAAGACCAAAAGGCTGAAGCTTGACCGTGAAGCTATAAGCATTGACTTCTATCAAAGACACTGTGCTAAATGGCTCAACTTGTACCTCTCTATCCTTCAGACTGACAGTAACAGAGGATAGATCTCTAGTGTGTTATAAGACTAAGTTGGTTGGTGAATATGCAGTAAGGCAATTTCCCAGGAAAAATTTAGAATCCCCAGGTCCTTTGCCCTTCATAATTTCTCTGTTTGCATTGTAATATGGCAGAAAGCTCATTGGCTAGAGGCAGCTTATTATAGGAGGCAGTGGTGATGGTTTATGTGATATCCCATTAGACGTCATTATAAGAGCCTGCCCTTTTGTGGTAATTTGGTGCTTGACTAAGGATGTGAGAATAATGCAGTATACTCATTGGGGAAAGGATAATGGTGCAGAACAAAGAGTAAATCAATAATATGTGCGGTACAGTTAATAATATTACCATTATGGACTGTTATTGTTACGGTGGTGCACTTAGCAATCAGGCAAGCCATGGTCATGAAGGTGAAGAGTGACAGTGGGGTCCTTCAGAAAAGACATCCTAACATGATCATATTACCCTCTCAACAGTACCAGCTAGGTTGGAGGGTCACTTAGCCACTCATCCAAACTTAATTCCCAAAATTCCATATCACTCAACCCTTCTGCTTATGAGGCTTCAAAATACACTACACATAACTGAATTCATGAAATGAACAAACTATTTGGATTTTTTAACCATTTTTATCATATCTTAAAATGTTTCTTGTAGCATAAGTACATATATGGGCAAAGTTTAAGTAGGTATGCAGGTTCTGAATGAGATTATGATTCTGAATTGACAAACATGTTCAGAAAGAGACCAAGAAAGAGGATTTCCCTTATGGCTTGAACTTCACACAAGTAATAATAGGGTTACCTGGTGCATTCTAATGTCCTACACAAAGGCACTAGGATAGAGAAAGCTCCAACAGGAATCCAACTTGCAGGTATCTCTGCAGTTGAGGCTGTCTATGTCTTGGCTGAGATAGCAAGCCAGGTAAGGAAGAACTCTAGCTCCCTACTTTGATGGCAAGGAGAGGATGCCCCAGACAAGCTACTTATTCCAGTTCAGACAAGAAGCTGAGAGGTCCATTCCACCTAACCAGCCTCTGCATCAGATATTGCAAACTTCAGAGTTATATGCTGGAATATACCTGCTTATTATTCAATGCCAGACTCAAATGAATGGTGACTTGAGACAGCTGAACACTCACCCTTCCTGTCCTGTACACAATGAATGGAGTGCGCATCCCCCTCCCATCCCCATTACTGCTCTGAAATCATTCATCCTGAGAGAGATATGTGTGAAGTGGAAGGGGAGGAGATGAGCCCTACCCCAACACGTCACCCTTGAATCAAAGGTTCAGCCAGCTGATTTATTTAGCCTTAGAAAAAGCCATGGTTCTATTATTTGAAAGTGTGCCTGGTACATATAAAATATATTCCAATGCAATCAATATTATCCCTTAAGCCTTTAATTAGCTTTCACTTCTCTTAAGAAGTAAGTAGACAAATGCTGGCAGGAAAGAGGAAGGGGGTAAAAAGATTGACTTTTTTTTTCCAATTTGGTGCTAGCTGTCTGATACCATACTAGACAATTGAAAATATATATCTTTTAGCTACAGCATGATTTCTGGAGTGAAAAGCAGTCCTTATCAAAAATGGAAGAAAAAAATCTTCCTTCAACATAATTGGTATTTTTGCTCAGAAGAAAAGGGGTGGGGGGAACCTGAGGGTAGGGGATTGATTGAAAGCAGATTGCCTTTTTGCCCAGGGAGAGTTATTAGGTACATTATCATGGCAACCTTGAAGAAGCCATATTGTTCCAATCTGCCCTGTATCTGATTTGAAGATGTACGGCTTCCCCCCTTTGTGCCAATAATCATTTCCCTCCATTTTGTTTTCCATACAATGGAACTTATCAGGGAGCCCACATATTGAAAATGTTTGAATGTTGTCAGAATTGATGGATGGGGAGATGCTGCCTCTCTAGCCCTGTATCATCACCGGAAGATCAGACCTGGCAGCCAATGTCTGAGGAAGCACCAGACTCCCTACAGGAGTATGGGGAAAGGTTGGCAAATGGAGATAATCCCACAGGCAGTAGTTTGGGGAAGAATATTGTTTCAGAAAGAAGAAATGTGATACGTATTATCCCATCTATTCATTATGACTGAAAATAGTTTATGACTGAGAACAGTATAGGCTCCTTGGAAGCAGTGGATATTTACAGGGCATGATTTGAGGAAGGTTAAAGATCCCTGTCCAAATGATCTCTGCTGGCTTCCACAATACCTACGGACCTGCCTGGTGAGATTCATACTCTGATGTCAGACACTAATTAGTTACATAGTCTTTGACAGATCTCACCAATTTTTCATCTTAGGAGCAACAATTCAGAGCTATACAGACACTGTAAAGAGTGCTTCATTCCTGAGGTTAGCTCCAAGATTTACTTGGAGAGCTAATACATGGATGGATGGGCCAACAAAGGAGCCACCATCAATGTTCTAATAGGGACTATGTGACTTCTTTGTATCAGTACACAGCAAGTGGCCTGTATAATTCCATCTAATCTTCAAACAACAGCAGGTTCTATCATCAGCATATCTTTAAATCTCCCCTCTGAAGTTGTTTCTGTGACATGCATCTCTTATGTTCACAGGAAGTAAAAGTAACTGACCCAGGATGTAGCCCAGGTATTGAGATTTGAGTGCACAGTGGGAGGGAGCTGACAGTGGAGGGTTGATACCTGCCAGCTTCTGCTCTCTCAGGATAGGCAAGATTGGCCAATACCTGGAGGAGGAGGTACTGCAGGAGTTCTCTGAGGTTCAGAGACATTTGTCATGGGAATGGGGTAGACAGAGACAAAATTTGTATAAGACATCTTAGTTTCTCAGCATCTCTAGTTTAGGCTACATCTGCTCAATTGGCCCAGAAGGTTCAAGGAAACAAACAACACAGCAACAACAACAACAACAAAAATAAGGAACACAGAAATTATCAATGCCTCTGTGCATAGACACTAAACCAAACTTTAATATTAGTCACACACTCTGAGAAGACAAGAGGCTATAAAAGTAATGTCCATATCTGGGTCAGACTTTGCATTCCTATGGATCTGAGGACTCTTCCACTAGACCAGGAACCTGAAGGATAATAAAGAGATGACCATTTATAGCAGAAGTTATTTAAGTGGGTCACACTGAAAGGAATTAAACCATTTTCATCTGTGGCTCTGGATGTAGTGTCTTTAAGCCCAGTGTTAATCTTCATGCCTGGATTCTATGTGGCAGTTCCTTGGACTGTGAAGACAGACAACAGATCTAAGTCAGTAGCCACTTCTACTTTAATCTGATTGGCACTTGTGGGTAGGATAAAGCTTGATGGATGAACAGATATTTCTGAGGCAAAGGTAACATAAATGTAAGCCCATATTAATGGCTTAGATGAAAGATCCATCTCAGATGTACAAGGAAGTGTGGTGAATATTAACACAATGGTAGCAAATGACTTGGTGGAAGGAAGTTATTCATCCAGTACCAACACTGAGTAAGAGCCCTAGACAGTGGATTAATTAGAGATAGGTAGCATGGGTTGGCTGTGCAACAACTAAAGCATCTTGTGGTTCAGTGTGATTGCATCATAACAGATCAATGTATGGCTACACTGGACTCTCTCAGGAGTTACTGGGAACTGCCAATTACTTATGCCATAGGTCATCATTCATCTTCAAGTATTTATGACAGTGCTCCTCTGACCACTGGCCATGTCCACCTCTAGAATGTGGTCATATATGTTCACCTAAGTAACTCTGCTTTTGTTGTTCTGGTGGGCCAGGATGGCCAACATTCTAGAGTCAAGTGACAACCTGTGTCAGAAGCCAATTCCATGCCTGTTTTTTAGGGTGGCCTTATAGCAGGAGGTATAAGAGGAGGAGGACAGGGTTTTTCAAGGTTCTG